TCCCTACACACAACACTCTAGCTCTGGAGCTTGTGGGCTCAGGATAGGATCTCTCCTTGGACTGGCTTTGCTTCAGCCTCTCTCTCTCTCTTGCCCAAGAGAGCAGCGAAACTTCCATTTACTCCCCAGTCCAGCTGACTGTGGAGTGGCTGAATTTCTGCTGCCTCCCAGGGTTCCCCCACATCTCTGGCTTGTGGCCTAGCTGGAGTCTATATTGATGCTGCCCCCCCTATGGTCCCTCTTTTCCTGCACTTTTTGGTGCAGCTCGGAACTGTAGGACAGCATATGAGGAAGGCCCCTCTCTGGAACTACAGCTCAATTAAGCCTTATGGGGGAACATTTTAAACACAGAGACGGCAGCCATTTTACAGATACAGATAACTGCCATTTCGTTACACCTACCAACAGCTACTGAGGGAAAAGGTTAGTCTCAAACCAGGAGGCAACTGTCTTCGTCAAGCAAGAAAGCCGTCTGCCAAGAAATTCTTAGAGGGCCCAGAGGCTGAAGGTGTGGGTGGGGAAAAGGAGTTAACCCAGCACCAGCCAATGGCACGCAAGTACTCTTGAGTGGTGGCTGGGCGGGACTCAGGCAACGCAGCCAGTGGCTAGGGACACATTCTGAGTGACAGTTCATTCAGCCAACTCTTTTTGGCGCCGCATAGAATGTTGCCAGACTAAATTGCAATTATGTATAAGGACTGTCATAGCTAAGTTTTGATTTTTCTTTTAATACATTACTTAATTACAGCACTATGTTCACAAAGCATACCTGGAAGTTTCCAGAATAGGAAGAAAATAATTGATTCCGGTGAGATTGTTGGCAGTGCACCCAGCATTTATCTAGGGTAAGTTGTATAAAGCATGCCATAGAATTATTTAGATTCCATTTCTAAATGCTGACAGATATAGAATATCCCACCTTTTTTTCCAGGCAGAGAAATGAGTCTCCTCAACAGGCTGAATTTTTCCTGGGTGGACGCAGACCTTTGAAGCAATTAAACCAATCTAACCAGGTAGACATGTATCTGTCTACATTTATGTATATCCTGCTCATTTTTGTGCATTTGATTAATTCCTATATGTTTATTGTTTAGATGTGCCATTTTGGGAGAGTTCCTATCAGATTAGTAAGTGATAATGAAGATGATGATGATACAGATGATTCAGTGAAGATAGATGTTCCATATGTGACTAATGTCCTAAAGGAGTAAGTTAATGTTAGTGAAAAATACTTGTATTTCTGTTGTTTCTATTGGTGGCTTGGTAGACTAGATAACAGAATAGAACTATTTGAAGTACCCATCTTTTTGGAGTAGAAGCAACTTGCAGCCTAGTGCCCTATGATGGGTGGAAGAGTATAGGAGGTTCAGAATGTGGGAGATCACCTGAAGTGTGTCAGGAGGCAACACCCACCGCTCAGGTTCCACTGGACTGTTTTGGATTGCTAGCTACTGGGGGGGGGATGTGCAGATCTGCCCTCGCAGAGGAGGGAAAGCTTGTACCTGAATAAAACTTGGTCTTAAAGGGTGCCACTGGACTGTTTTGGGCCGGGGGGGGGGCGTTGCAACTTATCTGGCTGCTTCTTGCTCTAACTGAGGGCTGCTGGGAGCAGGGGGGGGCTTGTTGCATGTTCCCGCCCCCTGGGCTCTATACTGCCGGAGCTCCGCTCCTGTGTGCTCCTGCAGGAAATGACCTCTGCAAGTCACTGAAGAGTTTTTACTTGGCTTGTACCTGCTTATTAGTGTGTTCTGAGATTGTTATATACTGTTTGGGTTTGCTCTTTTTCACTCTGGACAATGATGAATGAAAAGTATCCTACAGCATTCCATAAAATATTTTTTAATCATATTTATTGGCGTGTAGCCTTTTCCCATGTTATCTGAATGCAGTTATTTTTGTAGAATGCTTTGTATATATATTGTATACTGTTCTGATGTAAAACAAAATAACATTTTTGTCTTTGTTACTTATTATTGTTTTGATAACTTAGGCAGCTACCTGTTTCAAAAGACACAAATTTGATCAATTCACCTCTGCATGAATCAAAACCTAATAAAAGTGCTTCATATTATCCAGAAGGCCTGAAGGTAATTTCAATGCTTGTTTCTCTTATTAACTATTGTAGTTAAGATTGTTTGGGTGTGGAATATTGAATTATTTAGGCAAAACAGCTGTTTAGTAACACCAAGAACCAAAGTAGCTGAACATTAACTGACTAAAAAAATACTTATAAAATTACTAAATCTGTTCCCATGCCCTAGTTTTTGGCTACTTGGAGCGTCAGAGTTATGAACTTAAAAGTGTTTCCTTCTATATTTTAAATGTGCATTCCTTCCATGAAATGAATGTGCTTGATTTGCTTTAAAATGCTACTTAAATAACTTTGATATTTTTGGACCCAGCCTGTAGTTTCCTACAAGCAGAATGAAGTTCATAGAATGGGATTTCCCTGCATTCCCCTCCTATTGAAGTCCGCTTAACCCCCTTTCAGTACCTGGGAATCAGGAATTAGCTTCACATTCAACATGGGTGCAAAACGAGGTTCTGTAATGGAGGAAAGAATAAGTAAAAATGGTATTTTCTCTGCCAACAGAAGTTCTGTTACACTTGTGCAAGCCCACCATTCAATGCAACCAATGTTCCCTCTAAGCTGTGGAGTCCTGTGAGCACAAATTCTACTTTGTGAGCTGCTGGCAAAGTTGTGAGCGAGCGATTTGGCTGCTGCATAAATTAGTTTGCTCTGGAGCCATCCTTCCTGAATGAAGACAAAAATGTGTGAGCCGGAGGCTAAAAAACTATGAGCTAGCTCACACTAACTCATCTTAGAGGGAACACCGAATGCAACCCTGTGTGCTTAATCTGTTATCAAAAATTTTCCTGCATGGAAGAATTCCATGGAGGAGTTTTATAGCCTGCTGTTACAACAGGCTATAAAAGGCAGACTTTATCAAGGAGATCCATGAACAAGACACAACTTCTATTCTGTTTCTGCCTGTGTAGCAGCTAGATCTGTGGGCCAATGCATTGATCCTGATCTATAAACCCAAAGAGATTTGGGAAGGCCACTGGATGATGTGCTTCCCTTGGGTAAAGCTAGCAGCGGAATGGTGGTTTCTTTATATAGGAACCTTCCCTGCTCCAAGCCTTGACAGTCTAGATTGAGGCCTCTTCTTTCCCTCTTCCAGCCTAGCATGTTTTAAATAAAGTGTGAAGAATCCTGATCACAGAGCTCCCATATAACCTAAAGCTTCTCATACTGAATGAAACTGCTCCCTCCTTTCATGCTTAATAGATTTGCCATGCATGAACTCCTCGTTCTGCCCTCTGCACTAACTGGGCAACCTGACTGGCTCCTGCATCTCTGACCTGCTTGCCTCCAAGCTCTCAGTCTATTAAATGTGCCCCCAATCCATGCAGCTTTGCTCCCTACTGACTTATTGGATCTCTCCTTGGCTCCTGTTCATCTCCTCTCCACTCCTGGCATGACTTCAATCCAGTGTCAGTTGAATAGCTCACAACAAGGTGGGCACTCTCTTTCAATGCTTCCAGTGAAGTCATAGTAAATAATGTGCTCCCTGATATGCTCCCTTCCACTTGAGAAACACTCTGCTGCATAATTCCAAGTGATTAAGGTATATTTCACACATCATTTGGAGCTGTGGTGGCTCAAGTGGTTAAGACGCTGAACTGCAGGCTGTGGAAGGTCAGTAGTTCAGCAGTTCGAGACCCGAGTTGCCGCATGACGGAGTGAGCTCCCGTCTCTAGCTCCAGCTCCTGCCAACCTAGCAGTTTGAAAGCAAGAAATTGCAAGTAGATAAATAGGTACCACTTCGGTGGTACCACTTCGGTGGGAAGGTAACAGTGTTCCGTGCACCTTGGTGTTTAGTCATGCTGGCCACATGACCATGGAAACATCTTCGGACAACGTTGGCTCTTCAGCTTTGAAACGAAGATGAGCACCGCAACCCTAGAGTCGGAATCGACTGGCTTTTGAGCAAGGGAGCCTTTACCACACATCATTTAGAACTAAAGATACTATAAAATGAGAAGCTGTTTTGGGCAGTGTGTGGTTCATTTATCTTAAAGCTTGACTTGCAAGACTTTCTGGTTTAGCTTTTAGGTTCCCTTAAATATGAACTTAAAAAATAAATATTCACTGTTGCTCTTTGTTTTTGCATTTGAAATATTTTGAGTTTAGTTGAAAGCAATACTTTGACAGCATTCACAAATGTAAAAATTGCAACTTGATACTTTGAGTGTATGGATTATATCAGGTGTAACATTATGTGTAATCCTTACAACAACCCTTTAAGGGATGTCAGTATTACTGATTCCCCTGAGACTGAGAGATAAGGGTTGCATTAGACCACCTAATGAGTTTTTGGCTGAAGTGAGATCTGATCTGGGGGTTTCCACTACACTACTCCAATCTGCTGCACTGTATCACTTTTCCAATAGGCAACAGCTCTTGGAACCAAACCAGTTGAGCTACTGGTGCTTATGTTCTGCAACTCATGATTCACAACTCAGCGGTTGGTAATAAAAATAAATAAATGAAATAGAGTTTCTTTCTGGTCTGTAATCATTGTGTTGTTTAAATTGATCCGTGTATAGATCTCCATCTATGAAATACATGCATTTATTTTTAAAGGTCATGTGACACTTGTCGGTTGACACCGCCATGGTGCTAGAATGTGTGGGCTGTGTGCTTGCGCTTCGCCACCCCGCTTTTCCCTGCAGCTGTCTTCTCTCTGTTGCCTTTGTTCTCTCTCCATGGCCTTGAGCGCCTGGTTTCTCTGTCTTGCCTCCTTTGCCAGTCTCCTGCCCTCACTGGGTCTATTAGCTTTTCGCCGCACTTGCAGGGGTTTGCTCATTGACCTCTGCTCATCAGGGGGTCTTATACGAATGGGGTATAACTGTTTAGTCCACACATCTTATGTTATTCCTAACACAGAATTTCATGGAGTGTCCTCTACTCTGATCAATAAACTGAACCTACTTAGGTCCTGTGTGTTGTTACTGAGTTATTGGAGTTCCTGACAGAGTGTTAGGAATCATCTAACCTCTACCCGCAACTCACAAGATGAGCGGAGAAGAGATCACTGTTACCTTGGCTGAGGAGCAACCCGTGCTGACGACCACCGCGGTGACCACGCCGACTACATTGGTCACCACAACCCAGATCCAACTGGAGCCGGCACGAGGGGCTGAAGGGGGCTCAGTCTACTGGAAGCCGCAAGGTACCCAGGAGTTTGCCTGGTCCACCTTCCACAGTGACACGAGAGAGTCATGGGCTCTGACTCCGGGAACCCCTGGATCCTTGCACAGGAGCCGCTACGAGTACATGCCAGCTCGCGAGGGGGTGCGTACAGGAGACACAAAGAGGAAGGCATGGGGCTGGAAGAGCAGTTGTCCCAGATGGATCTGGTGCAAGTCAGGCTCACTCAGACGGTGGAGGAGTCGCTGCTGGACATCCCTCGCTTGGTGGCTCAAGTGGTGGAAGAGGAGCTGCGGCAACGCCAGCCAGTGCCAGCACCTCAACCACCGGGTCAAGTGCCTCTGGATCAACAACCGCCACCCCAGCTGCTGGCACCAGAACAACTGGTCCCCGCAGGTCCAGCTGCACTCCCCCAAGGACCTATCCCTGTTGTGCCTGGAGTGGTGCCGAAAGGGCTGTTGGATGCCAAACTTCACGGAACCCCTGAAAGCTTGGCATTCTTCATGGTGCAAGTGGGGAAACCTGGGGTCACCTTTTCCCCTCTGACGCTCGGAGGGTGGACTATATAACCGCTCAGCTTCGTGGGAGAGCAGTGGACTGGTACGTTAACCTGCATAACTCCGGGGGCTTGGAACTCCAGGAGGTGGAGGCCTTCATGTGGGCCTTACCCGTGCAGTACGAAGACCCACTCGAGAGCGAGAAGGCTCAAAATCACCTGAGAACCCTGAAGCAAGGCAAGAGGACGGTGCGTGAGTACACTGAGGAGTTCCAGCGCTACGTGGCTAAAGTGCATGGGTGGCCGGATGGTGTGCTCGCAGAGCAGTATCGAGTGGGGCTGCACCCGGAGATTCGTGAAACGATCCTAAGGCATGATCGCCCCGTCTCGTTTGCGGCCTGGACGCGTGAGGCAGCTGACGCGTAGGCGTGTCTTCAGATGACTAAGATCAATAGGCCAGCCCTGGCCTAATCTATTCTATTCGGTCTAAATCTAAGCCGCCGAGGCCCAAGGATGGTACCCGAGACCTCTAAAGGAAACATGGTCTTTGCCTCCAATGTGGGGAAAGCGGCCACTTCGCCGTTGATTGCCCGGAAGTAGCCGGGGCACAGGTTCCTGGTAAGGACAGAGGGAAGAAGCGTCAAGACACTCCGTTGAAGAAAGGGCCTGCTAAAGCAAAGGTGCAACGAGTTCTCCAGTTCAGGATAGACGAGGAGGGGTCCGGCTCGACCAGCAGTGGGGATGAAGAGCCAGCGGGAAAAGGCCGGGACCTGCTGTGAGTGGCACAGAGCTGCAGGTGTAACCTCCCGCCACGCACAGTGAGCAACTACCCTCCCCTCTTTTTCGTGACTGTGATGAACCTGGAGCTGGGCACACATGTCTGTGTGCATGCTCTCATTGACTCGGGATGCACCAGAGACTTAATCCTTCCCTGGTGATGGGGTTGGGTGCCCCTGTGGAGAAACTACCTGACCCCATATCTTCACCCAGATGGACGGTTCCTCCATGAAATAACCGTGTAAATATCAGACTGTCCCTTTAAGGATGGGGGCAGGTACCCATTGGGAACACCGGCCATTTTTCATCACTCTGGCAGTGCGGTTCCCGTTGGTTTGGGGAAGCCTGTGGCTACATGATCATAATCCCTACATCCTATAGGACGAGGGGCAGGTATGTTTTATCTCTCCCAAGTGCCAGGGGCATGGCTGGGATCCCAACTGAGGAACGACACCTCTCGATGAACCAGTTCAAGCCTGTCTAGCTCAGGAGGAGCTGAATGCCATCCCTCCCGCCTACCGGGACTTGGCTAGGGTATTCGAGGAGGAAGAAGCAGATGAATTCCCCCCCCACCGCAATACTGACTGTGCCGTTGAGCTATTACCGGGTCATAAATTGCCCAAGGGTAGGCTCTATGCGATGAGCCCCACGGAGAAGGAGGAGCTGCGGAAGCTCATTGATAAAAACTTAGCTCTGGGTATATCCGCCCCACCTCCTCCCCATTTGTGGCCCCTGTGTTATTCAGGGGTTGCGCTTGTGTACGGACTACCGGGGCCTGAACGCAGTATCACCCACCAATTCCTACCCCCTTCCCCTAATCAAAGACCTCTTGGCAGAGGAAGCAAAAGGGAAAATCTTTTCCAAACTGGACTTATGAGATGCATACTTCAGTATGTGCATCAAAGAGGGGAATGAATATAAGACTGCGTTCAATACTCCTCTGGGGCAATTCGAGTACAAGGTTATGCCGTTTGCTGTACTCCCCCGATGAAGAGTCACATGTGAAATTGGTTAGGAAGGTGCTCCAAATGTTGCACAAGTTTTAGCTGTTTCCCAAACTGTCTAAATGTGAATTCCACAAGTCGGAGATCAATTTCCTGGGCTACAGGATTTTGTCCAGGGGTCTAGAAATGGATCCGCCTAAGGTGCGAGACGTACTGGGGTGGGAAGCCCCTCGCACCCGTAGGCAGCTTCAATCCTTCCTTGGATTCGCGAATTTCTACAGAAATTTTATCGCCAGTTTCGCTCAGGTAGCTTTCTCGCTCACAGACCTATTAAAAACTAAGGGGAAGGGGCCAGACAGCACTAAATTCAGTGCCAAGCTGATGTGGACCACAAAATGCCTTTGATAAGCTCAAAACCCTGTTTACGTCTGAACCAGTGTTGGCCCACCCTGACGAACATAAGAAATTCATAGTCCAGATCAATGCCTCTGATGCTGCTATGGGCGGGGCCATTTTGCAGGAGGGGGCGGATGGGAAATTACACCCCCTGGCATATGTTTCCCGCAAGTTTAACTCCACTGAGCGTAACTGGGCAGTGTGGGACGAGGAGGAGGGGGGCTATCAAGCTCAATCTTTTTACTTGGAGGTATTGGATGGAGGATACCCGGATACCTTTTATGTGGACTGATCATAAAAACCTGGAAGTCATGCACACACCCTGAAACCGGAACGCTAAGCAGCTTCGGTGGGCCGATTTCTTTTCCTAGTTCCGTTTCACTCTCCACTACTTCCTGGGGAAGGCTAATTCATTAGCAGACGCTTTGTTCCATCTCCAACAACATGACAGTCACAGGGAGGAGGTACTGGACTCCATGTTCACGCCCTCTCAGTTAGGAGGGATGGTGGTGACGTGCAGTGGTGCCAAGGAGGATGTGCCCCTAGGGGGGGAAGGACTGGACTGCGGAGTTTGCCTCTGCCTTCTCTGACGCTGATCGCGTGCAGGTGGAGGGGAATGGGACTCTGGATTGTTCAAGCCTTTGCCAACCCCCGGGAGACCTTGGGAAGTGGTCTCAATGGATTTTATCACCGACCTACCACCTAGCAAAGAGAAATCCGTGATTTGGGTGGTGGTTGACCTGTTTTCCAAGCAAGCTCAGATTAGGATAAAAAATAAGAATATAAATAAAAGCAATGTTAGCTCGTGTCTTTTGAAAGTTAGTGTGGCATACTGATTAGAGTGTTGGACTAGGAACGAAATGACCTGGTGCCAAGGAGTCAATGAGCTGACTCTTTGGGTTCCCCAGGCAGTTGCACACAAATAACCAGACTGATACACACACACACACACACACTAGGAAGAATGCCCGTTGTGGAACTGAAGACAACGGGGCGCTAGCCTGGCTGTGGGTGCGGGTCTCCGTCTGCCCCCCCCGGCGAAGCTGGCCGTCCTGCCCCGCACGGTCGAGGCTCCAGCGGGCCAAGGCGCCTGGCCTTGCCCCTCCCGGCACCCTTGCCCGCTTGAGGCCCGCTTGGCCCTCTCCCTGCAATGGGTGTGAGCCTGGCTGGGCACAGGGCTCCGCCCACTTCCTGCCCCCCAAGTTGCGGAAGCAGCCCGCATTTCCCCTTGCAGGATCGAGGCCCCGGCAGGTCAAGGTGCCTGGGTTGGCCACTCCTGCCACCACCCCTGGCCAAACGAGGCCCCAGCGGGGCAAGCAGACCAGGCTCGTCCATCTCCCTGCAGTGGGCGGCAGCTTGGGTGGACGGCTGCGGGCCTGCATCTCCTTCCCCAGTCTCCTCTCCTCTGCCCTCTTGCCACGCAGTCAAGGCTCCAGTGGGCGAAGCCGCCTGGCCTCGTCTGTCCCCCCGGCACTCTCGCCCGATCAAGGCGCCGGTGGGGGAAGCCGGCCAGGCTCACCACTCTCCCCGCAATGGGTGTGAGGCCGGCCGGGCGCAGGGTGCTGCCCACTTCCCACCCCCCCAACTCGGGGAAGCAGCTCGCATTTCCCCTTGCAGGGTCGAGGCCCCGGCTGGTCAGGGTGACTGGGTTGGCCGTTCCCGCCACCACCCCTGGCCGAGTGAGGTTCCAGCGGGGCAAGCAGACCAGGCTTGTCCATCTCCCTGCAGTGGGCGGCAGCTCAGGGGGGTAGCTGCGGGCCGGTGTCTCCTTCCCCAGCCCCCTGTCCTCTGCCCTCCTACCATGCAGTTGAGGCTCCAGCGGGTGAAGACAGCTGGCCTCGTCTGTCCCCCTGGCACCCCTGCCCGATCGAGGCAGTGGCAGGGGAAGCCGGCCAGGCTCGCCCCTCTCCCCGCAATGGGCACGAGGCCACTTACGCCCCCCACCACATTGGGGAAGCAGTCCACACTCCCCCCCCCGTGGGATTGAGTCCTTGGTGGGTCAAGGCGCCTGGGTTGGCCGCTCCCACTGCCACCCCCGGCCGAGCGAGGCCCCAGCAGGGCAAGTGGACCAGGCTCATCTCTCTCCCTGCAATGGGTGGCAGCTCGGGCGGGCAGCTGCAGGCCCGTGTCTCCTTCCCCGGACCCCTCTCCTCGGCCCTCCCTCTGGGCGCTCGAGGCCCCAGCGGGCCAAGCCCCTGGCCTCATCCGTCCCCACCGCGGGGCAACGGGACAGGCTGGGCCTGGTTCTCTGGCCGGCCTCAGGCGCGGTGGCACGGCGCCATCTCCCTTCATCCGCAGACCGCACGGGGAAGGCGCGAGGGAACGGGCCACCCCCGGTGCCTTTCCAGGTGGCTGGGCAGAGCCAGCGCATGTCAGCCTGGGCCTCCTCTTGGCTGGTGGCGGCTCCTGGCTACTGCGGCTCAGCAGCGGTGGCATGGCCCCGTCAGGGGCCTGCAGGCCGAGTTAGAGTATCTGGCCAATGGAGCACCCGGCCCGGGCCGCGGCTCAAAGGAAACTGAGGGCAAAAGGGTGGTCGCTGCCTCCATGGGCGGGAGGACACCCACACAGGCGGCAGCGCAGTGAATGAAGAGAGACGCCCTGTGAGTGACACACCAGGGCGCCAACCAATTCCGGAGTGTGTGGAATGTTCTAGAGAAGTGCCACCACCATTCGGCTTTTATTTATAAGGGAGATATACATACATATATATATTTATGTCATTTATTATAAAGATAAACAGTTTAATGAAAATATAGGCAACAGATTACCATAGATCAAACAGGAAACAAAATAAAAAAGCTAGCTTTATCTACCTAACACTGTTCAGGATCTATGTCAGGTGGCACAAACTTACATCCAAATGAAGGCCTCTAATAAAAGTGGTCTACAGTCTCAGCAAGTGCAAAGCAAATCAGAAGACGAGGCTTGATTAGCCAAGTGCAAGCGACTGATGCATCTTAGTATTTTCCCATATTTCCATGATGTTTTGTGTTTTCATGCCAATAAAGGTTTTGTGTGTGAATTGCAAAGCATAGAAATACCGCAGTCCATGAACATCTCAGCTAGCTAACCTTTGGAGTTGTATGGCAATTATAGTTTTTGGCCCTCGGAGTCAGGTGTAGATGACATCCAATCGCAACACATTTTCAGGAGAAAGCACTGGAAAATTAAATCATTGCTTCTGGTCTTTCCCCCTTCCATCACTGAAGACATGCTCTCATGGGAAGCTAATTGTCTGCTTATACTCTGATCTTGAAGATGATAAAGTGCTAGGCAGGCTGAGAAACTAATTAATAACATCTGCAAGGAAGGCCAGGCCCATTATTAAACACATTAACCCTTGAGGGGAAGGTAAGATGGCACTTTGCCTTACACCTGGGTTGAAATCCCTGGTCGCCAAGGAACTTACTGAGTGAGCTTTGGCTTGTCACACTTCACTTTTCAGTTTGTTAAGAGAGTAAAATGGGGGCGGGGGGAGAACCATGATGTATGCTGCTTTGAACTTGTAGGAACGTGAGATAAAAATATGCAATAACTGAATGCAGTAACATAGTTTGCCACAAAGCTGTTAGAGAAATGTATGAAAAGAATTGAAAGTGCACACAGTTTTACTGATTCAGATACAGGAAATCTTCCAAATGCAAAGACTGACCTACCACTCTGGACTCTTTATCATGTTTTATTTTGATCTTGAATGATGATAGGAACACATTTGAAAATAGGTGCTAATATTTCATGAGAAAATGGCCCAGAGTGGTGAAGAGATGTGTGTCTCCCTGAGATCCTTGGAGAGATGAAAAGGCAATAAAATTGTGCAGTTAGCTCCAAGACAGAATCAAGGCTGTACAACTTCTTCTTGAGTCTGTCTTGTTACTAAGACTTACAGGTACTCGCATGGCTTATTTTCTAAGGATCTTGCAGTCTAAAGGCAACATGATGTGGGCTAGGAGATCTGATTCCATGTATCTGTTGACAGTTTTCTTATGTTTAAAGCACATAATGATGATCTAGCTGTGGACTTTCATCATCTATCCTAAGCGTTTAAAAGCAGACAGCCTATAAATATGCATTCATGACAGTGAACAACTAACTACATTCACCTACTTGATAACACAGATTGGGTTCAGGTTGGGTTCTGTGACTGGGATTTCCCATGGTCTCATTTTATTCCAGTCTTTTCTGTTTTGTTGTTTAGCCTTTGTCAAACAGGAAACCTATAGAGGTACAGTTGTCAGGTGAAGAGAACTTGGAAATACCTACCAATTCAAGTATAACCGTAAAGAATAAACATGATTCCATTGATGCAGTTAAAATAAAAGGTGTGTTTTAACCTATTTACACTTGGGGTCTAACATGGGTCTTCACTCTCTGTGGTGTTTTTATGTAGTCCTATGTATATCTTCCCCAGTTTTTATGAAGTACAGCATAGGGTAGCCTATGTCAAATACAACTTTTACAAATACAATACCTTTATTGGCATAAAGGTAGCCTATGTCATGGTAAGCAGTCCTGCAGATGAGAAAAAATAAGACTACTCTTCAAACAAAGTTCACATATGTAGATTCCTCATTATTTTCTTGCCCTGTAATTTGGGCCTTTGAAAAACATAACTTTTCCCAACATGCTTCTTCCCTTGAGGAAGGTTACTGCTGTTATTAGCAGTCTCTCCTTTGCTGCTTTCTGCCATCCCTTTGAAATTCCACATCCATTACCAAATTCAGACATTTTATTAGCCTATACACCAAAAGTCACATTGTAATGAAATACCTTGTCTCTAGACCTAGAAACCAGGGGCTTAAATTTCACACCCTGCAAACTGTTTGGTTTTTTATATACTTTTGTGATTGTTATAATTGAGGCTTTGGGGACTGCTTCATTTTCTAGTCAGTGAAAATGTCTGGATTTGTAGTGCCATGCTGCATTCACTTGGCCTACTATGAGGGGATTATGGGCTTGAAGAAACAACAATTAATGAAAGCAATTAAGAAACAGGTTTTATGTCAGTGGTACGTATGGGTTGGTTGTTTCTTTGTTTACCAGCCCTCTCAGTATTACAGTAACAAAGTTATTGGAGAGCCTGGAGCCTGAGAAAGTGTAACAGTTACAAAGTAGTTACAAAGTTTCTTGTTTGGCTAATGCAGACTGTTTTTGACAGCAAGGGCACCCCACCTAAAATCCCTATTTATTTAATTCCCTTATACCCCACCTTTCTCCCCAATGGGCACCCAAAGTGGCTTACATCATTCTCCTGTCCTCTATGTTATCCTCACAACAACCTTGTGAGGTAGGCTAGTCTCGGTGAGTATGACTGGCCCAAGGTCAGCTAGTGAGCTTCCATGGCACAAGTGGGGATTCGAACCTGGTTCTCCCAGATACTAGTCCAACACTCTTAACCACTACACCACAGTGACTGTCATTGATTTCCTGCCTAACCAGCAGAGCTCCTAACCCTTCTCCCACCAAAATCCAAGAACCCCCCAATGCTGTTAAAACTGTCCAACTTTTTTTCTTTTCCAACATTATAGTCCACCATTTGAAAGTGATTGGCTGAGGCTTCTAGAAGGCAGAACTTGAAACCATCCAGCCTCTTCCTCCACAAGCTGGGAGCACAATCCAGTGCCATCATGCCAGGATATTCCACCATCTCTTTTTTAATAATGATATGAAAAATTGTTTTCAGAAATTGAAGTACATCATGAAGAGCTAAGGACCATAGAGTCGGGCTATCTGGAAAGGCAACGGCAGCATTCTCTTTCTTTTGAAAATACCTCAAAAGAAAATGAGTCCATAGTAAGTGGTCCTCCTTCTGGAACTAAATGGTGTCATCTTGAAGTGAGGCAAAATAGGAACTCAGAGGTAATTGTTTTAAATTTAAGTGACGTTTTGGCACACTTTCACAAGCTATGTTGTGTCATTAGTAGTGAAATGTGAAAGTCTATCCTGAGCCATCTGTTTTTTTAATATGTGGTGTACATAAACACTGGTATGGTCTAACATGTCCAGCCAGCTTTTCATTTTCCAGAAATCGTTTTATAGCTATTGATTGTGGAATCATCTTTTAAATCTGCATAATACAAAGATTTTGCATAAGTTTGTGAATCTCTGAAAGTCATTGTTGTATTCTGGTATTTGCAGTATTTGTATGGTAGCACCGCCACTTTCTTTAGTCTGTTCATCTCTGTGACAGAATCATGGTATGTCCATTGCAATGTTAACCTTGTTCTATTAGCCAACCTCTACTTCTTCTCCCTTTTCCCTGACTGGAAAAGCCTTTGAATGTGAAACAAAGTGAAAAGCAAAGTGAACATTGAATATGCAGTGTTAAATTGATCTCAAAACAGTACCATGTATATATAGTGTGGCCCTTCTCTATCTTGTTAGGATTGCCTAAGATATTACTGTTTGCACAAACATGGTTGTTTTAAAATATTTTACCTACCTTTTACTTTAAAAGGGGACCCTAATGGTTCACATAGTATTTGAAGACTGCTATTAAGCCCTTTCACTATAAACCAGCATAGACCACAACAAATCAAAAACATTAGCCAACAACTGTTGTTGTTTTTACATCTCTGTATGTATTTTAGCTCTGTTTATAATTGTGTTAATGATCTGTGTGTTTGGTTGATTTTAATGGTTTTGTTACCTGATTTGGTGAGGGCAGAAAGGTAGGATATAAATTTTCTAAAAATAAATAAAAGAAATTAATCCAACCATTGGTTCCTTTGCCATCAGTTTCCCAAAAGCTTTTCTAAATAAAACTGCTTTGCATGCATTTCTGGAAAGCTTGCAACGTAAGTTAGGTTCCTTTTTTTTAGCAGAAGACCATGCCATAGGGAGGGCATTGACGGCTGAAGCAGCCCACAGAAGGACTGAGGAAAGGGGCTGTGGCGGAACGGGCCTGCATCACTTGCCAGGCCCCGCTCTGCCCACCCTTCCTTTGCCTGACCTGGCACCTGCCTCCAGGTATTGCTGCCACCACTGTCCCTGTCTTGGGCTCTGGTTAGGCGGGAGAGCCTCCTAACCTCCCTCTGGTGTCACTAGGAACCCACCACAGGGCTTCCTAGCAATCTTCGGGGTTCTCATGGAGAGTTGGCAACTGGCCATTTTGCCCTTTTCAGGGAGTCCCCGACCCATCCCTAGCGTGTCTAAGCGGCTGGGAGAACTACGCAGTACAGAGGGACTTCTCGCCATTAACAGTTAAAGGATTTAACTATTTACAGGCATATCCACAGTGAACGAAAGAATCCAAATAAAGGTGACCAAAACGCTCCATCTCTCCCTTCTCTACACTCATGCCATGTCTAGAGGGTCTGCAGGGCAGATACATTACTTCACTTCATTGGAGAAGGTTAGATCAGCATGTCTCCCAAAGTGGCCTCTGCCTCCTGCAGACTCCAATCAAAAGTCTGACTGGCTCCAGACTTCTGACTGCTGTCTGAACTGGCTTCCCACCCAAAACTCCACAATATAAAAGTGCAGTTTCCCGCCCAGGAAGTGACTCTTCCTCCTGCAGCATTCTGGGGCAGATCTCCTCACCACCATGATGGACTTCCTGATCTCTCTAGGGAGCTGCCCTCAGTCTACTGGTTGGATACAGGAGGGGAGGGGGGAATGAGGAGGAGACTAGGCCCAGGCCTACCCCAAGTTTGATGGCCTCCTCCTACCCACACCAACTTAAACACATCCACAAAATGGCGTTTCTCCACAGGGGCAACAAAATGACATTGTTGCAATGAATGCAGCAGGGACCTTAGTTCATTTTGGGAAAGTTGGACCCTTGGGGATGATGGCCAAAACTTTCATGAACTAGGCTTGTTAAGCTCATTACAACCTTGTGCTTGTCTAGTGTTGCTTAGCTACTGGCGTACCTATCGTCACCCAAATGCAGTTGTGGTGAATACTGTTAAAGTGTTCAGTAGCTCTGAAATTTTAAGAGGACCTCATGTAATACAGAGATCACATGAACATTGTCCATCTTTGATTTTTGTGTTAAATGTTCATCAATGTATGTAAACAGGTCAGTCAGGAGTAACTTTTGTACTGTGTGTGGTCTCAGGAAAACTGATGAGAAACGCTTTTCTTTATTTTGTAGGAGAAAAACCCATGTTTTGAACAGCCAGTGCTTCAAGTTTCCAGAAGATTTTCACCACCAGAGACTACTGCAAGGAAAAACACTGAGCCATGCAACAGCACGTTGAACAGTTACATGGCCTGGTAGCTTTTTGTGTGCTGTGTTCCGTTTTAATATTTTAGAGAATAGATTTGTGTCGTTGTTTGCTTTGGTACAGTGTAAATAAGCTAGCAGTTATTTGTGTACTAGGTAAATGGTAGGCACATCTTAACTGTGAGCTCCCATAAGTTTTGGTGCCTGGTTGAAGTCTAAGAATTATCTTGTACTTGGGGTTAAAGTTTTAAACTAAAATTCTTAAAGAAAATAAGAGATGATGATAAAAACTAGGAAATGTCACTTCATAACCTGACAAAGATTGTGAAGTCTAAAAATCTTTTGAGGGGTTTCTTGAAAATGGTGGACCAATGGTAAACCCTTTAATGAATTAGCATGTTGTTAAATATTGGAAGCAAGCAACACATGCAATTTCAACTACTTGATTACTTAGCAAGAGATTTGTTTGGTAGTTTGATTATTATTACATTAGAAAGGATTTTAATTTTAAAAAACGTTTTTGACAGTTTCAGCACTCCTGTTGTAAATAATGATTTTCTACCGGGGAGGAAGGTGACCACACCTTACACCCAGTTTTCCTATATGCATCCTCGTACTCCAACAACTCCATTCCAAATGCCAAGTGGATTACAGGTAAGAGTCTTTTGGAAATGTTGGCCTTATTTCCTAAAGAGAGGTCAGAACTTTCATCTGATGCAGAATTCAGCTGCCCTCTTCATATCTGGGCTAGTGTGCAGGAATGACATTCAGACTGTGTTACAGCAGCTGCTGCTCCTCTGGCTACTAATCTCAGGCTCACTTTGAGGTGCTGGCCTTCCATATTCTTGAAAAAGTGTGTGGCTCATTTAACCAAAACAATCATGTGACTACAGTACTTCATAGTGATCGGTTTGAGGAGCCAGTCAGCTATTCTGTGAAGCCTCTCTGGCTTGCTTCCATGTTAAGGTTTCCTCCTGGGCAAGCAGCGGCTGCCGTTTCTGTCAGCCCTGCAGCTCCTACTGAGACCCCATTCCTCAGCTGTGCAGTCCTTTCATAGATATCTGCCATAGTTTTGAGGTGGCTGTCCTGCTTGCAGCAATGCTTGTGTCACTTATGGCCTGGCCATATTTACTTTTTGCTGGATCAATCATGCTGCAGAGCTGCCGTCCAGTACCCCTCCCCCACATTTAATTTTTTTTAAAAAATGCACGGGATGAAGAGTATTAAATAAAATACCTAGCCCCCGGCACCCTCTCTGTCCTCGTACCAAGTTAGCCCTGTGGTACACTCTGGAGCTATGGAGAATGAAGTGAGAACTGAGATGGCTAGAGCAAGGGTGGCAGCATGCTTATGATGAAGCTACGAGAATATCCTATAGATTGTTTATGAAATCTTATGAGATGGCAGTGAAGGCCACTAAAAGGACTTTTTATGTGGCTTCCATTGTGTCTGCTAGTTCTTGCCCAGCCCAATTATTTAGGACATTTGATCTTTGATTACCTTGCCTCAAGGCAAGCAAAATGGTAGGGAATTGGCCATTGGCTGTGAGGCATTTGTGAGCTATTTTGCAGATAAAGTCTCATGGCTTCACCAGGACCTCTCTGTCACACTTGATACAGTAAGGGAACTGGAAGCCTCTTGTCTGTCTTTGAGTCCAGTTTTGGGCCACTTCATTCGGCTCTCCAGTAAGGAAGTTGATAAGATCCTGGCAGCTGTAAGGCCTACCACACGTCCCCTTGCCCCGCGTCCAATTTGGCTAGTTAAGGGCTTGCGGGGATGGCATTTGGGTCCCCTTTGGAGATCTCATCAACGTATCCCTCTCTTCAAGGAGGGATGTGGTACGTCCGCTTCTCAAAAAACTGACATTGGACCCTGCGGTCCTCACCAACTACCGCCCAATCTTGAATCTTTCATTTCTGGGCAAGGTAGTTGAGAGGGCCTAGTGGCTGAGCAGCTCCAGGCCTTCTTAAATGATGCATCCATTCTGGGTCCCTTTCCAGTCTGGCTTCTGCCCTGGTCATGGGGTGGAGACTGTGCTGGTCGCCCTCACAGATGATTTCTGGAGGTACCTGGATCTGACAGTGGCGTTTGACATGGTCAAATATAACCTGTTGATCCACCACATTGCCGACATTGGGATACAGGGGACTGCCTTACAGTGGCTTTCCTCCTTTCTCCATGGTCAGGGACAGAGGGTGGCGCTAGGGGAGAGCATGTCCCTGCGTTACCCACTTGAATATGGAGTGCTGCAGGTGGCGATCCTCTCTCAGGTGTTATTTAGCATCTACATGCGCCCCCTCGCATGTCAATATGCAGACGACACCCAACTCTATCGGTTGATGGCTGGCTGGCTGAATGCCACCCCAGAAACTTTGGACAGGGTGTTAGAGGTCATGACTGGATAGTTGCAGCAGAGCTAGCTGAAGTTGAATCCAACAAAGATGGAGGAGCTGCACCTGAGTCATGGGGGACTGGGGTCGGGGATCAGGCTCCCAGTCTTTGGTGGGGCACCACTGGTGCCTGCATGATGGGTAAGGAGTCTTGGGGTGATGCTGGATCCCTCGCTTACTGTGGAGGCTGCCAGATCGGCCTTTTATCACCTCTGGCTAGTCAGGCAGTTTATTCCCTATCTCACCCCTCAGGGCTTAGCTACAGTGATCCATGCAGTGGTCACTTCCAGGTTGGATTACTGTAACTTGCTCTATGCCTTTGCGCCTGATCTAGAAACTGCAGCTAGTGTAGAATGTGGTGGCATGCTTGCTGATTCTGCCACCTTCACAGGCGTGTATGCAGCCGGTGTTGCGCCAACTGCACTAGCTGCTGATCAAATACCGGATCCAGTTCAAGGTTATGGTCTTAACCTTTAAAGCCCTATGTGGCCTGGGACCATCATACCTATGGGACTGCCTCTCCTCAAATGACCCCGGATATTTTATGCTCTTCTGATCAATACCTCCTGGTGATCCCTGACCCAAGGGGCGTCCACTTAGGATCAATCAGGGCAAGGGCTTTTTTGGCCCTTGACCCAACCTCGTGGAACATGCTTCCACCTGAGATCAGGGCCCTGCGGGACTTATTGCAGTTCTGCAGGGCCTGTAAAATTGAGCTGTTCTGCCAGGCTTTTGGTTGAAGTGGCGGACATTTAACCATTCTGGCCTCCCCTGTTTATGGCCCCTTTCCAGTGCTTTGCTGTTTTAGATAATACTATTGGGCACTGGAGTTTTCTGGGGTACCTATATTCACTTGATAGGAAGCATGGGATTTGTTGTTATTGTTTATCATGCCATCTACTATTTCATTGATTTTATTGTTTTTATTGTTTTACGGATTTTATGCTGTAAGCCACCCACTCATGGGATAGGGTGGTGTATAAATTAAATAAATAATAATAATAATAGTTCTGTATACTGTGCCAGTTTGGTGTAGTGGTTAAGTGTGCGGACTCTAATCTGGGAGAACCGGGTTTGATTCCCCACTCCTCCACTTGCAGCTGCTGAATGACCTTGGGCACGCCATAGTTCTGTCAGAGCTGTTCTTGAAAAAGAGCAGTTTCTGTCAGAGCTCTCTCAGCCCCACCTACCTCATAGGGTGTCTGTTGTGGGGAGTGGAAGGGAAAGGAGTTTTTAAGCCGCTCTAAGACTCCAAGTGAAGGGCGGGGTATAAATCCAATCTCCTCTTCTTCCTTAATTTCATGGTTTTATTTAAAACATGAACAACATATGTCACTGTTCCTGTAATTTAGAATGTATCTCTTTCTTTTGTCATTTATATCAAATAGTACTTATTTGTAGGTCATCAGAAATACCCAAATGAAGCACAGGGTAGGAATAGTAGCTAACTATCTTAACACATTTGTATATTATTATTATTATTATTATTATTAAGGTTTCAGCTTCTGATCCTTCCAATGAATGCATTTTTATTAAAGGAAAATGGTATTCTGTGTTGAAACAAATCGGAAGGGGAGGGTCAAGTAAGGTAAGCTGTTAAATGCAGTTCTGTAAGTCAATCAAATTCAGTAAGTGTTTCATATGGGAGGTAACACAGAAGTCATGGATAAGGCAACTAGTTGTTGCAGGAATAATGTAAGATGATATACTGATTTCCCCTGGTCATCTAATACTGTGTTACTTTACCTTTTTAAAAAATGAAACTTCAAAAAGACTGAATTTGCCATTGACCGGGGGGGGGGGGGTCCACCAGCAGCCCAGCGGTGGAGGCTAGGTGCTGTACAGGGCTTGCCAGTGTCAGTTGGGGGGGGGGAAGCCTCAGCAGCTAGACAGCAGATGCTGGGAGCTGCTCAGAGCTCACCGTCAGAGGTGGGGGGGAACCTTGGTGGGCCTGGTGGAAGTGGTGGGGAGGCATAAAAGTAAAAGGGGGAAGGGATCCCCTTCTGAGTATCATGGGTCTCCACTTGTTCACAGTTTAATTCCTAGGAGAAGGACTGGACTTAATTATTCGTAAGAGAAGCTAAGAGCCTGGACTGTTCTTTGACTTTTATTTAAGTACCGTAAACAACTTGGAAAGACAAAATAATTACAACTGCTTTGCAACTGGAAGATCATTCCAATTTTAGGGTTTCAACACATGTTGGTGAATTTTCCTAAGCCAAGGGAAAATATTTCACTCTTTCATCAGCCTAAATTAGAGCAATCAGCTGGAACTACTCATCCTTATCATGTGCTCAGGTATGAGTAGATCAAGAACAGTCATATGATTTAAGGCGGGGTTCCCCAACATGGTGCCCATGAATGCAGTGGCACCCACCTGTATTTTCCTTGGCACCTGCCAAGCTTTTCAGAAAGTATAAAGCAAAGTTTGGGGTTTTTTGCTGCCTTAATTAATATGAAAGGGTTTTCTGCTGGAGGATCACAACTGGTAAACTCTTGGGCTTTCCTTAATCATTGTGTGATTCCATTTTCCTTCAGTCTTTTCTTCTTACTAAGAGGTGTGAGGAAGGAGGTATTCTGTTTGGCTCTGCCTGCTGTGGCAGCCATTTTGGGGTGGCACTAACCACCCCCTTTTCAGTTCCAAAGATTGCCTGTATGCTCAAAGGTTGGGGACCTGATTTAAGGTTTTCAAAGGGAAGGGATCTAGTACAAACAAGAATCTGGATAATGAAGAGGCAGAGAACATCCTACTAAACATCTGATTTAAACCCCACATTTATCCAAACAGATATACAATTTGTACATGCAGAATGTGTTCTCTGTAACATGTGAGCAGGGGTAGTGTATAGCTAAGTGTGATGTATTCATAATAGCAGAGGAGATTAGTTCTCTAGCACCTGCTTTAATCATGACATACAACCTGTAAATTGGGGAGGTGCAGTGCTTTGTTTGAAGAACTGTCTTGGTTGTTGTTTTTTTGCTTTGAAATATATGATTGCATGAGTACACTAGCAAACCTACAGCACCTATGATTGTTTTCCAGGTATTCCAGGTACTTGATGAAAAGAAACATCTTCGTGCCATCAAATATGTGAATCTGGAAGAGGCAGATCAACAGACTGTAGAAAGTTATAAAAATGAGATTGTTCATTTAAATAAGCTTCAACAACACAGCGATAACATTATTCGACTTTATGACTAGTAAGTAATTTTATTTTCACTTACAGGATTATCTCATTTTTCCTAACACTGTTTTCTCAAATATATATTTACTTCTATAACCTCATTTTAGTGAAATAAATGAGAAGAGTATCTACATGGTGATGGAGTGTGGAAATATTGATCTTAATAGCTGGCTTAAAAAGAAAAAAACAATTAACCCATGGGAGCGGAAGAGCTACTGGAAAAATATGTTGGAAGCAGTCCATACAATCCATCAACATGGTATTTATCAAAATCTATTTATGTCTCTAGTCTCTGTAGTGCATTTAATATTCATTTATATTCCTTCATTTTTAGTCTTCCTTTCTTGCCAACACTCAAGGTCTTGGATATAGAATGGTACTTTGGCTCACAAAATGATTTTGTGTGGTCCCTACTTGCAAGATGATTTAGTCAGTGGCCCACTGCGTGCGGGGAGGGCGGGGTATAAATAAAATTAAATAAATAAATAAGAGATTCACACTCTTCCAACTAGGCATGAGACTGCTCCCTGCATGAAGTAAGAATATTCCTAGAGATATTGTGCAGTGTCTTTTGGTGCATGTCTTATTCTGCATGCTGCATTCACTATTCACGTTGGTTTGCCTCTTGCTATGCACCCCTCATTCCCTTTGAAATATGTTGCAAGTGTCTGGATTCTGAGCAGGATGGTCCATTCAGCACAAGAAGATAGCCATATCCTCTATATATACAGGAATGTCTTCAGCAAGTCTTCTGCAAGTTATCTCAAATTTGCATTTTTGTATATGTATATTAATATACAAATTGTGTTTAAGAAATACATTCCAGTGAAGTCAACAGCAAATCTATTAATGTGTTTTACATGATTACAATAAACACAGAACAATAAAATATCTAAAACAATATTATTGAAGAAGTTATTTAAAATAGCAGTGTAAGTAATAACTATTTGTCTTCGTGGATTTTGTGCAGCAGTCCCACATGGGAACTGCATATGTGCAGGCCATCTACAGAGAAAATTCTAGACTTCCGGTTTATGAAGCAGCAATGGTGGACGCTCTCCCCGAGCCTCCAAGGAACATGTAATATAGCTTTTGGTATTACCTGTTGTTTGGAAGTTTGTTTCCAAATGTTTTCTAGCTCAGGGGAAGGCAGGCCTTATGTTTCTAGGAACTATGTGATTTTTTTTCAAGAGCATTGGTTGCAACTAGGGGTGTGCGTCGGCTACGTCCAAGTCAAAAAATATCCAAAAAATACCTTATCAGTATTTTCTGGATATTCTTTCAGCTGAATATAGATCTGGCTTTCTTGGCTATCCAAAATGGCTGGTCCTTGAAAATCCCGAAAATATTCAGGATTTTCAGGACTGCTGAATAGTTAAACTTAAAGGATTGCGGTCACTTTAAATGCCTCCTCCAGGATTCTGCAGCGAGAGAACTCTGAAGACCACAATCCCTTAAACACTTTTCCCCTCTCCATTGAAAGCAATGGAGGATGGGGGCACCTTCTTTGGGGGACCACAGAATTGGACCCCCGGGTCCAATTTTTTAAAAAACATGCCTCTACCTCAAAACCCCCCCCAGCCCCTCCCTGAGCCCCAGATACCCCCAGATCGATTTATTGGGTTTTTATGCTTTATAGACACACATACACACAAATCATGACTAACATATCTTATCTCGATACATCACATTGACCCAGAAAAAAAACATATTTTCATATACATAATCAATTTCTGAATTCTCGTTAATTTTAGCCATATCATATAATAACATCTCATGATTCTTGCTACTAACTTTGTTCTAATTTGCCACTCCATTCTCCTATCTAAGCATCAGAACACCTTTTTATAAATTCATCTGCTGAATCACTTGTGCTCATTCCTTCTATTTGGAGTAATCCGTCGCATAAACCTTTAAGAAGAACTCCAATCGTGGGAAATTGTAGGAATTTCTGTCAAGCATCATGTTCGTCCGTCTCAAAAGATTATTTAATATATCTATTGCCACCATTCCAATTCCAATTCATGGTAATATGTTCAAAACCCAACTGTCAAAGTTCCTATATAACCCTATTCTTCAACTTTGGCATTAATGAATTCCTCAGCAACCACAATTTTATTACATATTGTCCCTACCATACCTGCCAAAAAATAAATACATATTAATCATAAACGCTAACTTCACATTCTCCATTTTCAAAACAAAATTTCAAGTACACGATTTTTTTTACTCTCCACTCCTAGTTCCAACCCTCAATTTATTACACGCTCACAAACCAAAACAAAACAGAATTCCCTCACCGGCACTAAATTATATAATTATAAACACTTCACTTAATCCTAATAATTATTATTTTCATTACCAGCAATCAAATTCTTTTCCAAATACAATTACATTACCCATTAATCCTAAACAATAACAGTGCATTCTATTTTATAACAACCCTCTTTTTATATATATATATATATATATATATATATGTATAATATATATGTATATATATAAAACACCACAACCATGTTACATCTCCGGTTAGTTCATAGCATAGTTATCAGGACAGCATTACCATTACTCCACCATCTCCTCTAAGATTTTCAATAGCAATATATAAAAAAAAGAGGAGAGAGACATATAAAAAGAAAAAAAACAATTTGGTGTTTTACAAACACAATCCTCCTGGTAGTCCAATTCCCTTCTGTCTTGATTTTCCATATTCTCCTCCCAATGCCGTCTGTTCTTAAACTCCTTCATTTCTATTTCTGAGTTAACTCTTCCATGTCCCCCAGTAATTGGTTGCCTAATGTCCCTGGATTTCTTAGCTTCCCTCTTTGATTTCTTCCCTCTGTTGACCTTCTTCCTTCTTTTCCATGTTAGGTCTAACAATGGTATTTTTTTCTTTTTTACTCGTAACTTGGCTGTTCTTTGCTCCTTCAAAGCATTCTTAAAGCTGTCTACCTTCTGTATTTCTTCCTCTGCAGAAAAGCTCTGTGTATCCTGTTGATCTCTCTCTTGTTCCGCCTCCTGCACTTCCTCTTGCCCTTGCGCTTCTTGTACTATTTCTTTATGTCCCTTCACTTCCAATATTTCTTTTACAACATTTCTTAGAGCGGTCTCACAAGCCGATTTAAATGCCTGCTTAATTTCCTCCGCTAATACTTTTTGGAATTCTTCCCACGAAAAATCACCAACTGTTGTTTTTCCTTCCATTGTTCACTTCTATAACCTCCCTTTCACAGATCCTTTCTCTCATACTCCCGAGCAAGTTCAGTTATACTGTAACTCTTAATAGGTGATGATACTCTCCACAGGCAATTACGTCTTACCCCATTAAACTCGTCATTCATAGTTCCCTGGTAAATTTATTGCGGCCGCTTCTTCCATAGAAGGGGCAGTATCCATCAGGGGTAGTTCTTTCAGCTCCAGCAACCAGTCAATGCGATGTATCTTCCCAAGAAAAAAAAACTTTAAAAACAGACCGGGTGACAGCATCTCGAAAGAACACGGCAGCCATGTTCTTTCCTTGTCGATCACTTCGGCTTTGGGGCTGTTCTGGGCACACACACCCCCCGCCCTGCCGAATGCGGGGAGGGGCCAGAAAAACGCCCCCTGCTTTAGCTCCCACCACCGGGGTGCTAGTCGAGCTCTCCCGACATGCAGGAGACTCGAACAAAGTGAAAGCAGTTCGGGCGGGGACGGAGCAATCCACGCTCCCACCCGCCCGTCGATGCTCTGTACCGGAAGTCCCCCAGATCGATTCTCCATTATACTTTATGGGGACCATTGACTACTATATTCTATAGGGCATAATGGAGCCGGAAAAAATCAGGTTTCCTGAGTATTTCCCAAATTCAAATACCATACTGGTATTGGGATTCAGGAATATCTGAAAATACCGATATTTCGGGTTCAGTATACCCGAACTAAAAAATACTGGGGTTTTTGGTACACCCCTTGTTTGGACCAATCACAAAATGGTGGTTTAATGGAGGGAGCGAGTCACAAAATGGAGGCTTGTACAAAAATTAGTGTTTCAGAGCAGTTTTACAGTGTTTGGGTGAGGAAATCTGCTGCTTTTGCAAAGCCCCATTGTAGCTTGCCTGTAAGGAGAAAATATATAGTTTGCTCCCTCCCCCCCCCCCCCCCCCCCCCCCCCCCCGAAGAGTCAAAGAGCAGCTTCATTGCAGGAAGAAAGAAATGGTAGCATGCACCTTTCCTGTCTGGAGCAAAAAGGTATGCTTGTGGCTGGCCATTGCTTGGAGAGCCTGTATTGGATGGTGGTTAAGAGGATTGGACTGGGAGTCCCAGGCTCAGATCCCTACTCTGCCATTTACACTTGTTGGGAGATCATGGGCCAGTCATATACACTCAGCCTGAAGTAGCTCACAGTGTTTTGAGGATAAAATGGAAGCGAGAATGATGTAAGCCACTTTGTTGTTCCCTATTTGGGAGAAAGGTAGAGTATAAACACAGGAAATATATACACATTTCCTATCCCCTTTAGAGGCTTAATGTGATGTTATTTTAGCTTCCATGCCATGAAAACCTTCAGCTGTCTATTTCCACATATTAAACTTCTGTTAAAAGGACAGGATGTTTTCCTTCAGGCTTGCTGCCAACCCTAGTGCATGCATACAATGAAGTTTAAGGAGACACAGATGGGAAAGTGTACTCGTGTTCTGCCATCCAGAGCAAAGTTGCATGTGTGTGCTTCCATCTCCTTCAAGAAAAAGTGGAGGAAAGCTACTGTGGTAGTTTACCTAGGAAGGATAAGGAAGTGATTACCATGGCACTGAAAGAAAGGCAGAGCGCTGTTTTAGTTGCTTGAAGAGTAATTGATTACTCCTGAGTGACTTTCTGCCCACTCTGTTCTAGCTGTGTTTTGCAACAGGAACTAGAAATATGCTTCTGTTCTCATGTATAAGTATAGATGATGAGTGAGAACAAAGTAAATACATGCCTTACAGACAATTAATTCTGAAACTGCATGCTTCATTTGAACCATTCTTATTTTGCAGGTATTGTTCATAGTGATCTGAAACCAGCAAACTTTCTGCTAGTGGATGGAATGCTAAAATTAATAGATTTTGGCATTGCAAACCAAATGCAACCAGATGTGACTAGTATTTTTAAAGATTCACAGGTGGGTAAAACTTGCTGTTGGAGGGGAGTGCTTATGTTACCTGTTAATAAAACACAAGCAGAAGACCTAAATGACTCGTGAGCAACGGGAAATATCATCTCTCCCACCCATCCTTGCAGCCCTCCCAGCTTTTAGTTTCTTCATCTTTCCTGTCTCTGTCTCCTCTTTATAGCGCCCCCCACTTCCAATAAAGCACAAAATAGTTTAAATGCTCCAAAATCTCATTCTACCTTGTGAGATGTCAGCTGCCATTTTGGGCAGCCTGGACAATGTTGAGTTGCATAGGCAATCCAAAATTGCAGCCAAACTCTTACAAGGTAGCATTTGCAATGACTGTCAGCCAAAGTAACCACGGTTACTTCCATCCTTGGCAGGAGGCCTGCACCTTTGTGAGGCTTCCAGCTAACTTGTTGCTCTGGCTATTTCAAGGTGGCAGTCACAAGCCTTATCAGGCCAGAGCCTTGCCCATGTTCCTGAAGCATGGGAAGGTGCCACAATAGAGAACAGTGCTCAGAAGAGCCACAGGTGGCATATCAAAGATCTGCATGTGGGTCCGTCACTGCTCTAAGATATTTTCTGCACATCATTCAGTGTGAGTTCTCTGTGAATCAAAAATTAGCATAAGCCTTTTAAATTCTATCCAGGCCTTTCTAGAGTTGTTTAACAAGTTCTGTTTTTGAACTAATGTTTCTCAAGAACTATTACAGAACTCTGCTCATATCTTTGCGGCTTGACCCAACCTATATTTGGAGACATTGTTTTTCTGAGCCTTTGTTTATACAAGCTTTCAAAAGGAAGCATGAGGTTGAGTACTTTAATATATTATTGTTTAAATGTATTTAACCCAATTTTTTATGGTCTTAGGTTGGCACAGTTAACTATATGTCACCAGAGGCAATCAAAGATATGTCATCTTGTGCAGAAAATGGAAAACCAAGATCAAAGGTAAAATATTCTCATCCTTATTGAAAGGGTAAAATCTTTGGACCTATCTCTGTATATTTATGCAAACCTCAGACAATGTTATTTCATTTCCTTGGGTACAGTGGTGGGAATAAAACAATCAGGGTACCCTAAATGGTGGGGCCGTAGTGTATGAATAGCATAAATACTCAAGATAGACATTTAAGACTGGCTAAGGAAAATATTAGGAAGAAAATCTAAAAACTAGGCTAATATGCTATGCAAATATTGATACGAGTGGGCTATCATAAAAACAGTAAGTTGTTGAAGGTTTTTTCACATATTTAAATATGGGTGGGACTTCGATCTTATGCAGTCGAAATAGCTGGGGAAGGTCCTACAAATAAAATGTAAACATCCTTCCTTTTACTACTATAATATGCTATTTTTTTAAAAAACTGAAAACCCTGTTTCAATAACTAGAAATTAGTAATGCAACCTGTTAAAATTCCATACAGCAATAGTGTCCTCACAAATTCATAAAACAATACTGTTAGCCAAAATGTAATATTTAGACATCAATTTAGAGTGTCCAGAGCTCTTTATATCTGTTATTTTGGCATTGTAAAGATCCTGCAAGGTAGTCCAGTATTACTGTGCATGTGGAACTGAGGCTGAGAGTATCAGTGGCTTGCTCGAGGCCCCACTGAATGAGCTTGTGGCTAGAGTTCATAGCCTCTATTGTAAACCAAAATATTCTGACTGACTCTCCTATGGTATGAAAGTTGCACCTCAGTATGATTCACCTTTGTGTGTAGTAAGCATTATCTGTTTTCTGTTCCTACAAAAGCTCTTTATTGCATAATAGGAATTAGGCCCGTTGTGGAAATAAATACAACAAGATCTAGAAAGAGGCTCTGGGAGAATGCTCTGGCTTTGGGCAAACAGTGTCAATTTGCTGTGGTGACCTCAGCAGGGTATAATGACAGAGTCCACTGTTTTCTCCAGAGCAACTGATCTCTGCTACCTGAAGAGCAGTTGTAATTTTGAGTTATCTCCAGCCCTCACCTGGAGATTGGAAACAATGGTTCCCTATGTGGGACTGACTGGTTTGGAGGGTGGAGTCTATGGCAGTGTACCTGTCTGAGGTCCCACCCCTCCTCAAACCTCACCCTCTTCAGGCTCCATCCCTCAAATCTCCAGGAATTTCCCATCTGGAGTTGGCAACCCTATCAGGACTGGCCCCAATGTGTTTTCTCCCAAAGGCCAAAGTAGGTGACAGGACCAAGCTTAGATGCCTACCAACAGGCACTGAGGGGAATGTAGGGTTGCCAGCTCTAAGGAGGGAAATACCTGGAGGTTTGGGGGGTGGATTCTGTAGAGGGCAGCATTGGGCGGGGGGGCGGAAGGACTCAGCAGGTATAATGTCATAGGGTCTACCCTCCAAAGCATCCATTTTCTCCAGGGGAACTGATCTCTGTCATCTGGAGATCAATTGTAACAGTGGGAGATCTCCAGGTCCCACCTGGAGATTGGCAACCCTAGGGGAAAGTCAGCTGCACAGCAGGGGGTTGAAGAGAATGGTTTGATGGCTGCTGGGCCAAGATTGGCAACAATAGTTCCCCAGGAGCCCCATCGTAAATGCACCAAACAATTCCTAAAGATTTTCCAAAACACTACTCTGTCAATAAATTGCAACACTTTGAAATAGCACCAAAGCTTTAAGATCTCTCCAGCTGTCACCTGGAGACTGGCAACAGCTTGTCTGGAGTGTGGGCAGCATGGCATTGTATCTGTCTGAGGTCCCCCTCTTCCTCCTCCTCCTCAAATCCCACCCTCAGCAGGCTTCATCCCTAAAATATCCTGGAAGTTTCCAACCTGGAGTTGGCAACCCTATGTCCTGGAGTTCCAACCTGGAGTTGGCAACCATCAGCCAACGTTTATCTGCCTGTCTGTCTTTACAACCCCCCCCCACACACACACACACAGCCTCTGCCTAGGGAGCAGCTGACATCATTCTCCTCCCCCAACTGAAAATTCCAACTGCCTTGCGGGGGGGGGG